TCATGTCAGCCGTTATTTGTCCACTGCTGGACATAAACCTCCCTAGTAAATTGATTGGAATGGGCCCGAGCAACCTACTTCGAGTAATAAGGCCCACTACATAGTATCGTCATACAAACTCTGATAAGTTTGGGATTGAATCACCATTTTTTTAAATATTTATTTATATAATTGACTTTATTAGTGGATACAGGTAAGATCTATAAGCGAGGCCTATGTCCAGCAGTGGACGGTACGTCCACTATGTATACTAGATAACTGATAGAAATATTTAAATACTTTTTTTTGCAAATACCTACATACGTAGAAAACATCTAGACTAATACAACCAGATATACATTTTTTATATTGTGCGAGGATCAAACATGCAGCCATTGGAAGGTGTCACTCAAACGAAAAAATCCTTACACCACTAAGGTGGCTAGATTAGAAATATTTCATCATCATCATCATTATTATCATCATATCAGCTGTTATCTGTTCACTATTGAACGTAGGCCTCCTCCATAGACAGCCATAAGAAACACGACTATTCCTTATGGCAGTTTACTAATGGGGAATTTTGTCAGTAGATACAGTACTTGGCAGGCGGATTGGCAAACGCAGTTTGGATTTTGGAGATGTTATAAGAGAGACGCTGCTGCCTATCCCGTGCCATCCCTTAGTCGCCTCTCATGACACCTGCGAGAAAGGAAGGGGTGACCCATTCTATACCGGGATAACACAGCATTTCGACAATTACCAGAGGGAGACTTTGTACAAAAGTCGATTGCTTGGGTTCCTCTGTCCTATTCGTGTTTCTACCGTGAAGCAGTTGTGTTTGCATAGCTGTGTTTCAGTTTGAAGGGTGAGATATGGCGTGAATTTACAGGGTACAGAGGAATAACATCTGAATCCTCAGGAATAGCAACGCATGGAGGGTATTATGGGCGAAACAGTATACTCTGTTATATCCATGGTACTGCTCATGTCTATAGGCGACGGTTACCACTTTCCATCAGGTGGGCCGTCAGCTTGTTTGCCATTCTAAGTTGTATAAAAAAAAATTACAAACGTTTAAATAAACAACTCAACTATGAGTATGTCAATAGACAAGCGAAATAACAATTTGGATAACAATTGGTTACAGATATAGGTCACAAACAAAGCAGAGACAATAATGTGTACCAACATGTGTATTAATAGTACCGTGCTACATGGCTCTGTAGTCCCCAATGAACCGGAAATATTCGAATTAGTACATAAATATAGATGGTACTAAACGGTTATAATTGAAATAAAATCAATGAGTTAATACTATAGTCTATTTCAATACTATCAATAGCATTTATTGAAAATATAAACACGTATTTTTTTTTAATGGGTGATAATGGAATGGTAACCCCACCCGCGCTAACGGTATACACCAACGGGGCACCAGTGAAGGATGATAAGTGAGGATGAAGCAGGTCAGTTAGCCCATCGTGACGAATTCAACAAGAATTGTTCACGATGGTTTCCAGAGGGAACCACGTGGAGGTCGACCTAATAGGGCATATTGCTAGCAATGGGGCAGTCAAACTCCATTGTTAACAATCCCTTTCTCCCCTATAAACACGTATTGGACCAGACCAATAAGATCAATTTGACGTCCACTAATTTAGTAGTGCAAACAATAAATTGTTTAATTGATTAATTGTTTCGACGTATTAGTAAATCATTTGGATAGTGTAATAATTTTAAAATTAAAAAAGAAATTACCAAATCGGTTTAGAATTGACACAGTAATGTGGTAACAAATAAAAAATACAACTTTATCAAGAATCTTCTTCATTTTTAAGTCGGTTGTAAAGTAGCCTATATTTGTAAGGATTTATATAGCACGTTTGTGAGGATTTATATAGCACGGTTTGTGAGGATTTATATAGCACGGTTTATGAGGATTTATATAGCACGGTTTGTGAGGATTTATATAGCACGGTTTGTGAGGATTTATATAGCACGATTTGTTATTCTATGATTTTATCGTTATGATAAAATAAGTTAAAAAAAATCGTTTCAGATATTCGAAATCGTAATTTATTGCAATTTAGAATGATATTCATTATTTTTATACATATACAGTTATTATCAATAAACCCGTAGTATCACTGATACGACGAGATAATTCCTTTCTTAAAAACAAAACAACTGTTAATTTTAGAGTGATCGACATAAAATATCACTCTACTCGTCTTTCCATCCACTTACATACATGTTCCAAACACGACTGCCATTTCCAAAAGGATGCCGCCATTTTTATATTAATTGATTACTACCATCGAATCGTTGAATGACTAGTACATAATTAATTTTGTAAATTCATTAATTACTATGAAAATAAATCTGATAATATTTAAAAATGGAAATAAAAATTATTAAACACGAAAATATAATATTCATAACGTAATTTAGGCTCACAAATTGATATCTTTTTTAACATATTAAAAAAAAACACTGATTTGATATAGGTAGACAAAAGAATCACTGACAAAATGGCGGTTCATATTAGACACAAAATTGATTAAATCTTACATTCATACATGGTTAAATTCGGAAAACCGTTCAATCCAATTTCTTGCTAAAAAGGAAGGATAAAACAGAATATGTTAGAGAAGGAAAGTTCGAAATATACAGGGTGGCCCATAAGTCCTTAGTAATGAAAAAATTAATTAAAATAAAACTAATTACACCATGAATAATATTTTTATTTGTAAATATAGCTAGAAAAACGGGAATTATTTTTTGTAAATAACGTCGTCCAAATGTAATCCGTTACAGTCACGGCACTCTTGCAAACGCCTTCTGAAATTGTCGATGACTGCGCGGCACGTCACTGCTGAAATGCTTGCCATTTCTCTGCGGATGTTTTCTTTTAGGTCATTAATTGACCGCGGGTTAGACACACTTTAGCCTTAAGGTAGCCCCACAAAAAAATCCATTGGAGTCAGATCCGGGCTACGTGGTGGCCAGGAAATGTCTCTTCTATTGTTTGGAAAAAGTTGACGGATAACGGGCATAGCAGTATTGGAGGTGTGGGAAGTTGCTCCATCCTGTTGAAACCATGTTCGGGCATTAAAGCCTGGAAAGTTTTGCAATTTTTGTGTGAAAAACTCCTCGATCATGGCCACATATCGCTCCGAAGTAACAGTAACAGCACGCCCTCTGCCGTCCTCAAAAAAGTAAGGCCCTATGATGCCATGGGCTGACATAGCGGCCCAAACTGTAACTTTAGGGCTATGTAAGGGCTTCTGGTGCTTAAATTTTGGATTAATCGGGCTCCGATAGCGGCAATTTTGTTTACTAACATGTCCGTTAATGTGGAAGTGTGCCTCATCAGAGAACATTATGTTATTGAACGAAGTAAACCGATTAAACATTTCATTAGCATAATTCACTCTCTGAATAGCATCAGTCTCTTTTAATTCTTGCACCAACTGAATTTTGTAAGGGTGCATAAGTAAATATTTCTTCAAAATCCGTTGTAACGATGTCCTGGATACGTTTAATGCACTGGAACGCTTACAAGTTGACTGTGTAGGATTTTCACGAATAGATTGTGCCACTGTGTCGATGTTTTGTTCCGTACGTGATGTCCTTGGGCGACCCAACCGCGGTTTATCTAACGTCGAACCGGTCTTCTCGATCTTAGCAACCCAATTCTTAATCGTTTGGAGAGCTGGGGTGTCATCAAAGTTGTGTAAACCTTTGTGTTCTCGAAATTTACGCCTCGCAACGGTTGCCGAATTGTTGTTTTGATAAAACTCGCGCACACAAAACGCACGGTCCGCTCCGGTGAAACGCTCCATCGCGACTAAATTCCCAGAAACCGAAGTTACTGCCCCGGCTTCCCCTGCACCGCTCACGCGCGCCGTTTTCGTTTAATTCAAATTTTACTTTTCTAAGGACTTTTGGGTCACCCTGTACCATACCAAGCCCCACCCTGCTAACAAAGAAATGAGAGATAAGGACTTCTTCGCAACATAAGTGTTCAATTGTTTATTATTAGAATAACTGGATCAAATAAACAAATATAAATATTACTTACGTGTCCTTATTTTTACAATAATATTAGATAAACAACTCAGTAGATACTTATTTTGATAAGATAAAACTCCCTACTAAGAAAACCAATGTGAAAGTGTGTTTGTTACCTCTTTGCGACTTAACGGCATGTAGTTTGATGCGTAAATGACTTATACCTGCACACGTAGGCTATTTTTATTCCAGTCACACATTAAATTTGCACTCCATTAACTGCTCTGCATAACATTCGATGTTATATACATTAAAAGAATGACGGCTATAAATTTAAAGTAACAAATTGGCAGCCTTAATGTAACATTGCAAGGATTGTTGGAAGATATTAAGCTCCTTGCATACGTTGTTATATTTTCTGCACACGCGGATAATTGGATTGTGATACGATACATTATTATTACAAATCGGTATATAAAATAATTTTTGTATTCTTTTATTACCTGTACGAAATGAAACAAGGCACAACAATGTGCTACTGTCTCATTTATAATTTATTATTTTATAAAGAGTAATAAAATCAGACATAGATCTTCTATTTAAAAGAGAATTAATGTTAAAATGATTAAGTCTTAATTCATACGAATGAAGTTTCCTTCTCAGACCAAACTTAGTGCTCAAGAATCTAACAAAGCGTTTTTGAATTGCTTCTATTCTATCATTTGTATGTATTTATATGTATTTATGATCATCAAATGACTCAAAATAAAAATAAATATCTATTATTTCTGTTAATTTTTTAATCGCGACATGTCATATAAAAATTAAGATTCATTACCTAACAAAATATAAAAAGTAAATATGCAAGATATAAAGTAACTTGTGAAAATCAACTTAGTTATTGTTTATTGTAATCGATAAATTAAGTAAGCGTGAACGTGTGTATTATCTAGTTTGTGATAAAAGATTAGAAGAAGTATAAATAGCCAATAATAAAGTATATCATTAAGTTTTCTTTATTCTTAACTAATTAATAATAGCTCGTGCAAATATGACAATTTTGAAATATAATGGTGAAATCAGTGATATCAGTGCTGATACAATTGAATTCATAGATAATGTACTTACAAAGAAATTTGGATTTGAAAATAAAAAAGTACGAATAGAACCTGTGGGTAAAATAGGTGATAATTTCGCATCGCAAGTTAAAAGAATAATAGTAGAAGATGATTCAGAACCATTCGGTATGCTACTAAAATCGTTACCTGTCATTGAAGATACAGCTGAGGCGGTATTTGATGTACAATTATTATTTAACAATGAAATCTTAATGTACGAAATTTTATCCAAGTTTAAAGATTTTCAAACCAATGCAGGAATTCCTAAAACAGATCAATTTAAATTTCCTCAATGTTATGGTTTTGGAATTAACAAAGATTTTATTCTCCTCGAAGACTTAAAAATATCAAATTTTACTATGCTCGACAAATTTGAACCTCTATCAAATGATTGTGTGAATATTGTTCTGAAGAAATTTGCAATGTTTCATGGTTTATCTTATGTATTAAAGTACCAGGAACCAGAGAAGTACAAAGATTTAAAGGAGGGCCTAGTGGATCCATTTAACAGTAAGGAACATTTTATCTCACAGTTTCAAATGACACTTGAACTGATTGAAAAAGATACGATAAATATAGTTGATCAAGAGAAATATAAAAATGTTTTAAAAAACTCCCTGTCGCAAATGATTTCTTATACTGCGGTGCTTGATAAGAATGCAGAGATGTCACAATATTCTGTAATCACTCATGGAGATTGTTGGACGAACAATATACTGTTTCAAATAAAGGTAAAGATTGCACAATTATAATGATAAGTAATAATTTTAATCGAAGCAGTAATGTAATTTATCTATATATTATGCAATACATTAATTTTAATTCGTTTAATATTTAAATAACAATTTTTAGGAAGGAAAACCCGTGGAGTGTATTTTAATTGACTATCAGCTTTCAAAACATCGCAGTCCTGCTTGGGACCTTCTACATATGATTTTCAACTGCACAAACTCTGCAAGCAGGCATGACTATTACCTAGAATGGATTGATTACTATCATTCTGAATTAGATAAATCCTTATCTTATTTCGGGCTTAAATCAGAAATCGTCTATCCAAGATACGAACTTGACGCTGACCTAAAAAAATATGCGAAAATTTTATTCTCTCATTCTGTTTTCGCAACAATGATGGTAATGAGAAAACCTGAAGATTCACTTATCTTGAAAGAAGCTATGGATGAACAAGATGTAGATAAATTTACTGAAGCTATGAAAGCGTCAAACTTAGACGAGGACTCTAAAAAGAGGACAAAGAATATCATCGAAGGCTTAATAGACACAGTTTTGGAATTTAATCTTATGTAAATAATATTAGATAAACAAAACAAATTTACAAGTATATTATTGTAATATATAATTATTAGGTACTATTTTTTAAGAAAATCTGTTAGTTCCCTTTCGAAAGATTCTGTGCTAGCTTCTTGAGACTTTAGACCGAAATACAGTAGTCATACTCAATCTACTCTAATTTTAAGACTGCATCAGCTTTCCATGTCTTTATTCATATAATATTATGAAAATTAAGTACTTAACTACTGTATTTATCACTTGTTACTCAAAAAAGAAATATTATCTTTTCATTTCTCAATTTTCAATAACAATATCTAATTATTATAAGAAAGACTTATTATCTACATTTTATTCTGTACAATTTCATAATATTGCTCAATGTCAAGGAATGTTGCGTTGGTTTGGTCATTTGGAGAGGATGGATGAAAGAAGAATTACGAAAGAGATTTATCGAGCAAGAATGAATGGAGATGTCGGTAGGGGCCGCCTTAGATGGACGTATGTCGACCAAATAGGCGACGTGCTGAAGAAGGGCCAAATTAAAAGTACCCGTAACCGGCGAGCGTGTATGAAAAGATTGATGAATGTGGAAGAAGCGAAAGAGGTTAGTTTGAATCGAAGCATTTGGCGTTCCATTGTTTCTGCCTACCCTAATGGGAGACAGGCGTGACAGATATGTATGTATGTATGTATGCTCAATGTCAAAGACTTTGTCCATATACTTTCTATAAATCACTTCAATGTATTCATAGAAGACGTTTAAGAAAATTTTCTGCTAGTAAATCTAAATATTTTCCACAAAAGTCTGTATCGTTGTCACGTCATAAATCTAAGCAAGAAATGTCTTTAAAATGTAGATTTTAATTCAGCCGTTTATACTCAATTTCGTAGCCAAAGTAGATAAATCTTATATAAGAAATCAGTATAGGATCGGATAAGACACTTAAAAATTTTAATATAAAAAAAAATCCGAAACTCTTTATAAACATTTACATTTTAATAATTGGTACTATTATTAGTCAAATTATAATCACCAAGTTTATTCAATGAGAAATGAAAAGTAATAGGTACATCGTACTCGATGTCGTAATTAAACAGCGGATCCTATAGCACGCTCCGACGCCCGAACACAAACGCACCCATAAACATACCTTCAACGCACTCATGCACAAATTGACCTAAAAACAGTACTTTTTATTGTACACCAACGTTCTAGACACCGGATATCTGAAGATACAAATCTAGAAGAAATTAGAAAACACCATGGATAAAAATTAGGGCAACTGAGAATAAAACTGGTTACTTAAACCAAATCTGTTACTTACAATCTTGTGGTAGCTCGCAATGTGAATACTTGAATTTGAAAAATGTGTTCTTTCTGTTCTGATATCACATTTAATTTAAATTTTATATATTTATTTATTATTTATTTATTCTTTATTGCACAATAAAATTATGTACAAATGGCGAGCTTAATGCCATATGGCATTCTCTACCAGCTAACCATTGGATAAAAACAGAAAGCGTATGAAGGGCAGATGTGGTGAAAAATATGTGACAATTATAGTAACACATTAAGGCAATACACAATATAAATATAATATATGATCATTATTGTATTGTAAGTGTAAATATATAATTTATCAAGTGTAAAAGACATAGAATATACCACCCCATCCTTTCTATCCTTTCCCGTAAGTGTCGTAAGAGGTGACTAAGAGAGGGTATAATTGGATAGCAGCATTCTTCTTAAAACATCTCTAAAACTTAATTGCGGTCACCAAACTACCCTCCAAGCGTGGCAACTACTGGTAAAAGTCGGTATAAGTACGGCAGTAGACAATTAAAGACAGTTATAGATGGACAGAAATATGGACTATATTCTGATTTTTTCTATACAACTGAAAAATGCTATAGTAAAAAAGCTGACTGTCTGGCTAATGAAAAATGTCAACGATCCATCATAGAATCCACTGTTACGCTACGCCCATAGTGCCTCTCAAGCGTTGCCATTCCAGAAGACTAAACAATTCAATATCACTGCCATATCTCAATGCTGCAATTCTTTTTTCATATCTGTTTTTATAATCAATCAATATTTTTTCTCTTTTTTTTTTTTATTAACATGAAGTACGCTATTCAAAATCTAAGACTAAGACTATATTTTTCTTTCATGTTACGAATAAAGTTTTTGTCTGCCAATAGCCCGTACAAGAGAACCCCTGAATCTGAGACCCGAACAGCTAACCCAACCTATTATTTATTTAGTTCGCAGTAAGTGCCACTCAAAACAGTGTCTTAATTAACTAGAAACTGAGAGGAGCTGCAGCGGTTACACTGAGAATAAGTTTATAAGCGCTAGCGAAGATTTCCAAACGACTGCCAGAATGATAAAGGCGCCATTTACATTAGAAACACACACATATTGCTTCGCAAACAAAGGGTGACTTCAGTCGTGATGAATTCTACAGACTGACAAAATGTTTTGTACAAATATTGTATTTTATTAATATTATAAAATAATAGGTTGTTGTTACTCTTTCACGCAAAAACTACTGAAATTATTTTAATGAAGTTTGGTACACTAGTCGTTTATATTCTAACTTAGCATATAGGATACTCTTTATACTGATTCACACGAAGCCACAGAACATAGTTAGTTGAATATATTTTAATTCAATACGTAGTTGTGAAGTTACAAGTAATTTTTGTCTTATAATAAACAGTTTCTTTGTTTCGCAAAATAAAAGCAGCATCTTCGTCGAATTGTCATAAGGAACAAAGCAACTCCTGTCAATTTTAAAAATAATCACTAAACGGTTTCAAAGAAATAAATAAAATTGGCGAGGTAATAGTTTAATGATCATTCCCTTGCCTTTTCTCATTTGTTTGGAGTCGGCACAGTATGAATATCTCTTCCACAGGTCTCTATCAATCATCGTACCAATTATTGATATACACTATCTAAAATTACATATATAAACGAATAAATATATATTTTTATACTATATATCTATATACTATATTTATATCCATTCACTTTTATCTCTAAAAAAAAATACACTTCTTTAAAACACATTTCAATTCTCCGCATGACGTAACTATAGCACATACATATACATATATGGCAACAAAAATATACTTGTTATTACGAATTAATGAGTACCACTCTTTGGGAATCTTTCAAAAATACTGCCCTAACTGATCCGATTATAAATTTTCGCGACCGCTTCTGCCCCGCTTCATTCGTATACATGCGATGCCCCTAACATTTTCAGGTTTGCATTTCCCAGCTGCTCATAAATTCATAATTAAATAACGTACTACAGGCTTTGTTAGTTATGCATCTCGAATTTTATTTAATTTTTCTCGCCCGCCTGTTCTATTAGCTGGCCGGCTTTATTAACTGCTAAATATGGATCAGATGTAGTATTTTATATAGTCTGTAGGAATAAAATATATAAATGGAGCCAGGGTTAGAAATGTTAGAAGTTAGGCCTAGATTTATGTTAGTCATATTGCAGAATCTACGACCATTTGAACGTAAAAAAGTCTGTTAAGTCGCAAACAATCGACCAACAAAATCGTTAAAGTATATTATATGAACATCCCTGTCTTAGTATATTTTTACCGAGAAGAGGTTGCGCTCGCATGGTTGTGTTTCGGTTCGCTTTGAAGGGTAGAATATGATAGTGAAATCACAGAGTCTATAAGTGTAACATTATAGTCCTCGGGCATGGCAACGCGTCATATCAGCTTTTAACTGTCCGCTGCTGAACATAAGTCTCCCCCTTTGTGGGATTTGCTGACAACTGCCACGCTTGACAGGCGGATTGGCAACCGCAGTTAGGCTTTGGAGATATTTTAAGAGGGATGCTGCTGCCCATCCCTCGGCCTCCCTTAGTCGCTTTTTACGACACCCACGAAAAAGAAAGTAGTAGCCTATTCTATGCCGGCATCACACGGGCATAAGGAGTACCATGGCTATAATAATGGACTCTGTGTTCACTAGATGATTATTGCCTTTTTTCATCAGGTAAACCATCAGCTTCCATATCTAAGTATCATAAAAATAATATTGAATAACGCAGTTCATTTAGGCATACCTCTACCTAATCATATGTATGCTTGTTAAAGATTTCGAAGGTGTACAAAAAATGGATCCGAACACTGTTAGTGTTCTAGCGAAAATTGGCCATAACAACTGCTCCAACTGTAGAAATAAACCTTAATTAAGTTATTGGTCTCGTAAGAAAGTTGGGCGTTCATTTGACTTGTAAAGTGACGACAATTGGATCAGACGCGCAAACCATTGTTGCCAACTGTTGGATAATTAAGTTTATGTATATATAATCAATATACGTGCCTACACACATATTTGTGTCTACGCCTAGATTATGAAGGATGAGAATGTGATAGAAGATTTTGGAGGCGTGATTTCTTTTATAATTGCAGATTGTTTAATTCAACCTGTATATAATATTGGCTTAACTCTATTTAATATTGATGAACATATTTTTTTACTTGATGAACTTGCAGTGATAACTCTGTAGGCTATTGGCATACGTTGGTGATATATCAGTGATGATGATAGACGAGAATGAAGTCAAGTCAATTGGCCCATTATAGTGAATTTAGAAGGAATTAACCACGATGATTTTTATGGAATGCCGCCTGGAGGTAGATCTAATAGGATCTTTTACTAGTTATATAGCGTTTAGTTTCCGTTACTGATAATCCTTACTTCTATATTTTACTTATGCACAAATGACGCTTCTAGTAGTGTGTTGCTGTAACCATTTACTATCAGACGAACCTTGTGCTTAGTAGTCCCACAAGTCTACAAAATACGGATGAATTTTGGATTTTAAAATATACCTCTTCCGGTAATCACTTCTAGATGGCTTATCAAAACATAACATACCATACCATGGCATACCCTACATTAGAAGTGAGACCTTCAAGAACTCGACTGTGAAAACCGTTTCCAATTTTGATGCAACATTTCCTGTGTGGTTTTGGAACAAACATACAGTTTTGACTTTTAATGCCCATAATAAGACCTCTTATACAGAGTTCATTTACATACAATTTTATTATATTAATAACGTAATATACTGTTAAAATTATAACCATAACTACTTGTAAGTATCTGGAATCTTCAGCAAATTGCGATATATCAAACCTTTTAGAAAAATCAGTTCGCGTTCATCGTACATACTTTGCAGAAGTAAATCTAATACACGTAGCTTCAAGAAATGGCCGTCACGGGCAGACATCCACCGGAGACCGCCTCTTATGATATGTTTAGAGATCCTAGATGAAAGTACCAACAGTGAAATCCTTTTAGCGCATTATTCAAACTTTAATTTAAAAGTTTCTTTATGAAAATATATCCTGAATAAAGTCTGTTTACTCAGAGAGGGAAATAACTGACGTCTGACTTTAGTTCTGCTAAGGTAACCAGGCGTTTTTAGTTTATTCCCATATTATACTCGTACACTTTGCAATTATCAAAATTATGATAATAATTTTAAATTAGAGGGAGACTTTGTACAAAAGTCGTTTGCTTGGGTACCTCTGTACCATTCGTGTTTCTACCGTTTGTGTTTGCATGGCTGTGTTTCGGTTTGATTATCAAAATTAAACGCATCGATAATAATTGTTATGTCCATGGTACTGCTTATGTCTATAGGCGACGTTACCACTTTCCATCAGTACAAATGATAAAAAACTTTCTACTGAACCATCGACATCATCATCATCTAGTGATTATTAGAAAATAATACGGGAAAGGAAGGGATGGCCTAGCCTATGTATGCCGGGACCACACGGAACATGAACTACTGATCCGGTTTTGATAAAATTTCTACGGGACTAAACTGTGATTACAGAAAATAATAATTTCTTTTCCTTTCACATAAATATAAGAGTTTTCCAAATTGCTTAATAACTGATGGAGTTATGAGGTAACGATTATAAAAAAAATACATCCTAAATTAGAAGTTCCTTTTTTTTAAGTTAGTAGAATAGCTAACTTGAGTAATTTTAGAAAACTTCGATTCCTAAACTGACCCGACCAAAATTCGAACTCAGATGCTCATTCGCACAAAAACGTGCCCGCCACTGAGCCACGGAGATCAAATTAATGTTATAACATTAATTTACATAACTGACTCGACTAGACACGGAAGCTCTGCCCCGGGAGACGCATTGTGCCTCCGATCTATTTAGTAACATCCTGTACCGCGCCTTGCGGTCGATAACCCTATTGATATATTGGATATGTGAAATTCAAATTGGCACTATTAATTATACATGTTTAAATATATTACTGGTTTGAAAATAAAATATCTTAAAAATACAAATCCGGTATGATACTGCTGTGAACGTGAACCACACGTCAAACTCCGGAATGGCTGCACCAATTTTAATGTAATTCTGTAAGCGTGTATTGTTTAATATAACATGAGAGAAATGATAGTTTTTGTTCCAATAAGAAAAAAATAGACCCGGTAGATGGTGATAGTGGTTAAAACAATGTTTACTAAGTTTGTAAATGTAATAAACAAGAAAGAGCATCTCAGTGTATGTAGAAAGAAGAATGGATCAAAATTTGACGAAAACATGTAGATATAATTAAGATTGTTTTACACAAAGAAAA